GAGGTACAGTCAGTAGCTCAGCAAGTAGCAACACACACCTTGCTTGGGCCCCTAGCACTGTCTTGGTCTCAGAAGACCTCAGGGCATGTAGAGAGTAATGCTCTGTGGCATAATTCCAAAGAATACAGAGGTATCAGGATCCCAGGGGCAGGGGTCTTGAGTCAATCTCTGTGACAAGCCTGTGAAATGGGGTAATGAGTGTCAAAAAAAAAGATGGAGAACAATTGAAGGTTGACCTGAGATTGACCTCTCACTTGCACACATGTGCACACACCTGTACACACATCTGCATGCACAGGTGCACAGCTCACAGAAATATGTATATATTGTGCCCCCCCCCCCCCCCGCCAACGCACACACACAGGGCTAATGGTTGGTTGGCTGTGGTGGTTAATGACAGGTGGAGAATTGCCTCTGTGGATTTTGGAGCCTGGGAAGGAGGGCCAGGTCCCAGCAGGATTACCCTATTGGGGTGACAAGTGGGCAATAGAGGTCGAGGGGTGTTGGATTGGGGTTTTTGTGCATTCTTTGCCTGAGGGCCCTGGATCTAAATTCTTTGCACCCTCAATGATGAGGAAACAGAACCCGTGTTGATTTCCTTCTCTGTTAAGACCACAGCTGTTGCTCAGGGCAAGGAGCAGAATCAGAAATGACTGAAGTCTTCACAAAAAAGACTCTGTGATGACAGTGGCTGGGTTCAGGAGCCTCCATGTGACACAGCTTTACTTGTCTCTGGGGACAGAAAGCACTTGTGAGCATCCAGCAGATTCCCAAGGAAGGGGTGAATGAGCCCTGCTTGGATTTGGCCTCCCTGCCATGCACTGTGACATTCTATGCCTCACATTCACTGTCACTTGCACTAAGAGACATGTGAAAAGTAAAACATCTCAGCAAATGGCAGCTAAATATCTCTTCTGTATTACACAGTGTTCTAGGCTCAGGAAGCCTTGGCAAAGAAGCACACTTTCCAAAGACAGCAAACACAGGCATTCTAGTGTATGTGTGTAGTTTCCAGTATATAAGTGTTGGGGTTCAAACTCAGGTTGTTAGGTTTGTTGACGAGTGTCTTTATCTGCCAAGCTAGCTTACCTGACCCCTGTCTTTTGCAGGGTGTGGGAGGGCATCCCTTCCAGAATCGATACCTATGGATTTCCATGCCTTGTGACAGAAAAACTTTCTCAAACTTGGGTTTATTCACTTTGAATTATCCAGCTGTCGCTGAGGCTATAGACAGGGCTCTAGACATCTTTTCCTAGGAGACGGTCAGGCAGTTCTGGGAAGAGGTAGAGGGGGGATTGTTCTCCCTGACACGGCTCTTACCTCTTATAGGCACCTCTGCCGGCCTTGCCACAGCCGTGAGAAGGCCAAGGGCCTGGGCAAATTCATCTGCCAGCGATGTCACCTAGCCATCGATGAACAGGCCCTCATGTTCAAGAATGATCCCTACCACCCGGACCACTTCAGCTGTTCCCACTGTGGGTAGGTGCCCAGTCCTGGCCCTGTATGTGGCAAGGGCAATCCTGGCTGTCACAGAGCAGGGCTGCTGGGATTCCCACCCAGGACAGGGGCAAACAAGGCTGGCATAGAGGGCACTCATGAGGAACAGAGCTGGAGAGCAAAGGTAGGATGAGGTGGGAAGCCCCTCTCTCCAGGGCTCCTTGTCCAGGGGCCCCTGGACTGCAGGACTCTGGTCGAGATAAAACAGAAGAAAGAGTGGAGTGTGTAAGGCTGGCATTGGTGTTGAAGAAAGGGGAAAGAGGACAGAAAAGCTGACGATCCTACAGTTCCCTAGTATCCCTTCCGTGCTTGCCCCAGACACCCAGTCTGGTTTACAGGGGAGGGGGGTGGGAAGAAACAGACCTTTCTCTCAAGAAGCTAGCTGGACAGTACACAGGCACTTTCTGCAGGCCTGGGCGGGGATTCTGTGCCCTGGGGCCTGTCTGGGGAGCACATAGGAAGTCTCCAGAGATCAGTGCGTTTGCAAGCTTGCTCAGCCAGAGCAGGAACCTCAGACAAAGTTCCCTGGACCTGAAGGAGGTCAAGTCTGCCCCTGAGGACACTCTGTGCTGTCTTTTAGGAAGGAGCTGACCTCTGATGCCTGAGATCTGAAGGGTGAGCTCTACTGCTTGCCTTGCCATGACAAGATGGGCGTCCCCATCTGTGGGGCCTGTCGCCGGCCAATTGAGGGCCGTGTGGTCAACGCATTGGGCAAGCAGTGGCATGTGGAGGTAAGC